TTATTATTTTAATTACAATTTAGATATAATAATGATAATATATTTTGTAATACTATAAATATTTTTTTTATTTTAGTTCAGTCGAGAACACTTATTATGATATTGTGGCTAATAACTTAAAATGCATATAACATATTCTCCATCAGCAGCTATTTACACTAACCCATGATGGTAATATCTATCCCACTAAAAAACACAGAAAACTAGTCACGGGGGACAAAATAGACCTGTTCGTAAAAAGTTTGTACTATTGGTAAAACAAGCCAACGATACGCGCTCTGGTAGCATAATTCTCAACTAGCCGATTCGGGATAGATGTTGTGTTTACATTGCAATGTCCATTGAAAAGGTGGTCGTTTTAATTTTCTAGAGTTGTTAATTAAGCTAATTCAGCTAAATTAAATATTACAATATTAACTTATTGTGTTGTTTAATTAATCAATCTTTAAGTACCTACTTATTCATAATAATATTAAATATTAATTCTTATTTGAAGTAAACTGTATGTATTGGACTATGGATTAATAATGAATGAATATTTACAGAACTGACTTAAAAAAGTACTAAGATAAAAAGACAAAAGAAAAAAACAACAATTATTGTTCCGTATTTGGATGCTGCTCTTACTATTCCACTAACGAGGATATTAGTTTTCATCTTATACCGAAAAGCAACAACCCAAAAGTGTTGCTAAAAAACAAATGGGGACAAGAAGAACTAGTTGACCGCCGTAGAATGTGGGCTATTTTATTACGGTTTTCGAAAGAAGCATTATTGAAAAAAATCTATTGTTGTTTGTTCAAAACATTTACCTCAGAGGACTTTTACCTTCAGGTTAGACAGTGTAGTTACTATTTATTTTTATGGTGTTCAAATGAATAGATTATTTTTTTTAATATTTTGTTTGTAAGTTGATGAATAATCTACCTAATTGAATAATGAATATTTTTAAATTACCTAGGAAGTTGAACAATGTATGGCTTAAGCACATTTTTAATAATAATTTTCAAATATCTGTATTATACATTAGGTAGTTGTTTGTATGAAATATTGAAGTTCACTGTATTCATACTATGTGTTAGGTACTTATTATACATATTTTTAATATGTAGTAAGTATTTCCTTTCAGTGTTAAGTTAGTATAAAATATAGAAATATAGTTGGAACAACTTTATCTACTTGCAGTTTATATTATTATTGGTAATAATTATTATATGTATAAAACATAATTTACTTTTTTAGGACAAAATAACAAACGCAAACGTCTTAAACCCATGGCAATTCCATCCAAAATTTACCCCAGTCTTCTGTATTGCTTCATTCGCAAGGAAAGATCCTATCCTAAAAACAAATGTTCACCAATAAACCAACTAGAATCAGAATGTGAAGTGAGTGAATTTTTATCATTGACATTACATTTCATTTTAATAATGACAAATATAAATAGAATTATTTTACATTTTAGTTGCATGTGCTTAATTCAGATGGGGATGAGAGCTGTTTGGAGTTTGTTGGGCAAACAATGCCAGACGATTCTAATGAAAATGACCATGTTAATACTTTGGAGTGTAATGTACAAGATAACATAATTGCTAATACAATTCTCAGAGACTTAAAGTACAGGAATACAAGTAGCAATTTGAGATTTAAAAACTTCATTTCTATCATTCATAGACACAGTGAAAAAACTGAATACCATGACTGGCATTTGTTCTTTTGAATTTTTAAATGAGATAATAGCCTTACATATGACATATTTTCCAGATAAAAGACAACATACATTATGTCTTAAAGAACGCTTGTTATGGTATTTGTTAATTCAAGCAGGTTATATTTTGCAATTTTGAGTATTTTATTCAATGATTTTTCTGCAGAAAGTTGTAGACTAACTTATAATTCTTTGATTCCTCAACTGGCATATATATTTAAATCTTTGATCTATTGGCATTCTAGGCAAGAAAATTTAAATAATACACCCCATTGTTTTTGAACAGTTTTAAAGATGTGCGAGTTGTATTAGACTGTACAGAAATATCATTGCAAGACCTAAAGTTTTGACTCGCCGTATAAAGTGCTATAGTAACTACAAGTCTACATTTACATTAAAATTTTTGATAGGAATTTCTCCAGGTGGTCTTATAACATATATCAGTAAGCCATATGGTGGTAGAACTTCTGATAAAGCCATATTTGAGCAAAGCAATCTTATTGAATTAATGCAAAAGCCTGATGCTGTTATGGTTGAAAAAGGATTTTTGATTGATGATATTTGTAAAAAAAAATATATAACTATAATAAGACCACCTTTCCTTAAAAATCAAAAGCAATTTTCTATGGAAGATGCTTTGTTGTCTAAAAATATCGCTAAAGCTAGAGTTCACATTGAACGAATTAATCAGCGAATAAAAACTTTTAATATTTTTTGTCATACCTTTCCATGGGCTCATATACATTTAGCTTCGGACATAATGACAATAATAGGTGGTTTATGCAATATAAGCCCACCAATATTTTCATCAGACAAATTTAAAAAATAATATGTAAAATTTAATATAATATGTATAATTTAATATAATATAATATATTATAATAATTGTATATAATATTAACATGTTAGTTCCTCACATCCTACTTAATTTGTAATTAAGACAATTTTAATGTTAACTAATATATATTGTTAATTACACATACTTCATGTATTAATCTTTCAAAATAAATAACTTTTAAACTACAAAACAAGTTTTTACAATAATCTTCATCGTATATTACTTTTAACACTGCATTTTTATTTTCATAGCTACTGTGTACTATAAAGTCACATTCCTTAACATTTAATAAAACAATGCCCATTTGTACTTGTGCATAGTAACAATGGTTTTTTTTTAAACTCAATGAACCATTTGGGTGTTTTACAATGTATTTTAAACTATTTAAAAGATCTTTTATTCCAAGTTTTTTACCATCAAAAGGACATTTGATTTTTATAATTTTAATGGGTAAAAAATATTCATCAATGATGACTCCATCTGGACTATAACCTAACCAGGATTGTTAACGTCAATCACTAAACCACACTCTAAATATTTGTATTAAATTCTTTGAATACAAATCTCTGGCGATGTTTTCATTTGTAAACCATATTAACAAACTATTTGTGAATAGTTTCGGCCAAAAATATCGTCTGGCTTTCAAAGCCCATTGTTCATCTGTTTTGAAAGTCTTGTTAAAGGTATACAGCCCATAGCATCGACTTCCTGTGGTTCTGTACTGCCGACAATGGTCCCAAAAAGATTTGTCTTTTTGAGATTGATATAATACTTCATAAAAATCAGTTGATAACTTAGAAAATGATACCTTGCAACAATCACTCATATTCCTGACTGGGTAGTTTTGCAAATACACTGACAAAGGATGCGATGACACATTCAGCCTGGACAGCTGTGTGTTTTCTGCCAATATCACTGATGATTGGTTAGTTGGCAAATTACGACCCAAGGAATGAAGAGCAATTGCTGAAGTTGGTGCAGCAGCTATGAATCTTGACCTAAAATTTGTTTTTTTAGTAATTATTAATTTATAAATTAAAATAAACATATCACCTAATTGTATCTGCATCATCGTCAACAGAATTTGAATCGACCACATTTTTTTATAACAGTCAAATGTATCAATTGGTAAAGGTTTATAATGAGTTAACGTAGGTTCCTTTAATTTTGACCACTGAAATGTCAAATGTTATGTCAGTTGATGAAAAAATTTCCAAATCAGCAACTGAATTTCTGAAATTAACAATGGTAGGTACCTAATTGATAACTACATGTAATATTCAATGTTATATTGAATTCCATTTAAACTAAAAATATTTTAAAACATTTACTTTTAATCAATGTCAAAATAATTGATTTTTTTTCCATTTGATAGTAATTTTTTGTTTAAGAAACTTGAATTATTGCTTCTACTTCCAATGCATGTTTAAAATTTTGAATAAAAATGCAAACAATTACCTGTTAAAAAACAAAAGTATTGCAACAACGTGCTTACAGCACTCAGAAGCTCCTGCTTTGCAACTGCATTTGAACTTTATAATTTCCACTTCAGGCTTCGTTAGTTCACCAAAAATTGAATGGGGCATATCTTGTAAATGTGATGTTTGAACAATTAGGTAATGCACTAATTTGTGTGACACTAGCCTAAAAACCAAAATATTTTCATAGTACCTACTTAATATTATTTACATCAAATTTGTAATTACATAAACATAGCAGATGTCATATTTACCATTTCAATTTTACCACATAATACAATCTGTTTGCTTTTTAATATTTTTTCTCCTTCTATTGCACTACGAGAATTAAAGTGCAATTCGCATAAGTAAATATTTTTAACAGTGACAAAGACATGTTTACACATTATTATTAAGCGCTGTATTTTACATAAAATTATACTTACACACTACATACTACAGTTGAACCTTTAAAATAGCAGCATATATTTAGCCATGTAAAATAGGTAATAGCGCGAGAAATACGTCCAGACTCTGAGCGGTGGCGGTACCCCCGACCATGTACCAACAGCGCGCCCCGTGTTATTTTGTTTGCCAATATTAATTATTATTTAGTAATTCTATAATAATAAATTCTTAAAAATATTATTTCTAATCACGTTTTTTTTTTTGTCTATGTATTTAGTTTTACAGGAAGTGAAACGAGGAGAACTCGAAAAAGTCGTCATTGAACAAGAGCAGTGGCGTGGGTGAATGGGGGTTTTATGAAGCTTAGGCGTCATGGTGGATTTTTTGGTTGGGGTTGGGTGGTTGGTACATTATGGTAATCAATCACATACAACAAAAATTAAAATATTTACAGTCAAATATAATTATATGTACTAAATATTCTATGTAGGTGATAAAGAGGGGGTAGGTACTGAAATATATGCTGGGCATCAAGATTTAACCAGCGTAGGTATACCTTTACTTTATAATTTTCATAAATTATCTGTAAATTTTCGGTAAAAGAATGAACTACTTGTATGAAAGACCTTGTATTAAGTTGTCTAGCCTTAGCTATACATATTTTATATTTTATAAGTTTTGAACTACAAATTGACTGTGGTTAAATTGTTTTGAACTTTAAATGCATATGTAAAAAAAAACTTGCGTAGGTATTACATTTTTAAGCTTTTCGACCGGATAAATAATTTTTTATTGACATTTATAAAAAAAAAATGTAATTAGTCAAATACAATCCAAGTGAGGACTATATAACCAAGCAGGGGCGTATATAGGATTTTCTTTAGGAGGGGGATATCAAAATTTGTTTTGTGCTATCGCAACTTTTTGTTAGTTACCTACTCCATGTAAGGTAGGTATATTATAATAATAAATGTTGTGTAATGTCACTCACATGCCCACAGGATAACAAAATTATAATTAATAACAACAGTACTGCACCAGTTTGTACTTTATACATGGAAAAACATGGGTAAGGGAGGGGGTCTATCCCCCATATCCCCCCCATAAATACGTCACTGTAACCAAGCTATTGTTACCAAACAATTTAAATAAGTTTTCATTTTTTTTCTCCAATTAGGTACTTTTAAAAGCACTGAGCAGATTCAATTTTGACCTCCTAAAAGTACCAACTAGATCCAATTTGCTTCCAAAAACATATACTGGGCATCGAAGCTTATGATAAGAGCATTTTTTCTACCAGAAAAGTTGAAAAGTTACAAACATTTTAAAATACCTCAAATAAACGTCTGAAATTTTTAGACTGGACAAAATAAAAATAAATTTGTAACTAATTTTCAAGCCCCCCCCCTCCCCCCATTGAAAAATCCTGCGGACGCCACTGTATGAATGCATATTTCTGAACTTTTAAAGGATTATTTTGCCAGTTTTTAGCGCATAAGTGCATGCTTATTTAATAATTTTTGGGGCTTGAACTTACAAGCCCTGCTTATATGACACAATATAAATATCAATATTTAATTTAAGTTAGGTACAATTTAAAATTATAATAAAACTTGTGCCCAATAAGCCTATACTACATGCTTAACTATACAGAAATACAAATTGTTTTATTCCTTTTGACACTGTCTTAATTTTTGTAGAATTGTATCATACCATAAAACTTATATATTATACTCAGTACCTATAGGTAATACGGTCTATTGATAAATCGTATGTTCATTTACAGACATCTTTGTGATCTGCAATGTACCTACTTATTCTAGTTTTCTATTTCTGTTATAGTATGCATGCCAAATTTAACTACACAGATTGCAGGTGCGCAAGTTTATGGACATTCTAATACATTCCCCCGCCAGTCATAGGCGCACATAGGGTGTTAATGTAGGGGGTACTGGGATAATTTATGGTTCACAGATCCGTGGGGGCAAAGCCCCCCACACCCCCCTAATCCTAATATTTCTGCATTGCATTAGATTTAATTTGTACAGTGTATACAATAATTTCTAAAGTGCAATGTATCAAATAGTCTGTACAGTGGCGGCGCCGGGGGTGGGCCAGGGTGGGCCCGGGCCCACCTTAAAAAGTCTCCGGCCCCCCCTGTGGCCCACCCCAAAAATTAAATTTAACCATATTAGAATACTAAAAAATATCTCATGAATAAATCATGATTAATTATTAAAATATGAAAATATTAAGTCATAATAGATGGCGTGAACAACATTTTGAATGGGTTGAAAACTATATGCACTATAATATGCTTTCAACCCTCATAAATAACGTGTATTTTCCAGCGGCTGAATACGAAAATAATAAATTATTATTAAATATTCATTACTAGCTGATCCCGTGCACTTCGTCGCCCGTTAAATGGATCAACTCAATACTACCTACTCAAACTTTGTTCAATTCATTAACGTGTATGGTGTTCAAAATTTATCTTATCTTTCCCGTTGCCCTGAATAAAAATTCTGAATCGCAGCAGTACATTATCAGGTAGGCAATCTACCTGCGGTAGATCGCGGACCCCGTGCTGGTTGTACGGAAGTGTATGATTTAACTCTAAAGTATCAAAGTTATACCAAGTTTATTTTGATGTAATACTGTGGATTAATATAATAAAATTGGTTGCTCGTAAAAAATCGCAACTCTTAAAAAAATTATGATTGTTGAACTCCTTTTGGGTGTAATTTTCTGCGGTAAGTGCAACTCTGCCACCCTGGTAAGCATTGTTCAATAATTCGATTTGATGCAAGCTTGTACCTGATCTGCCCGAATAACCAATGGCAACCAATAAATAAATGCTAATTTCTAATGTAGACTGTAACCAATGGCAACTATAAATAAATAAAAATAAAATTTCCAATTTCTATCGTGAATCTCAATGTCCCTGTTTCAGCACCTATTTAAAATGCGAATTTTGGCAAATCCTTTCTTAGCGCACGTCTATATTATGATAGCTATCTGTATGCCAAATTTCAGCCAGATCCGTCCAATGGTTTGAGCTGTGCGTTGATAGCAGTCAATCAGCTTACTGTTTTTTATATACAGATATGGTTGCCATGGTAATATGGACACACACACACACACACACACACACTGACATACATTCATTTTTATATATATAGATTGATATGAAATCTTGGTAACCTTAGTAACCATGGCAACCTTGGTAACCATGGTAACATGGACACACAGACACACTGACATACATTCATTTTTATATATATAGATGGTATTGAGTGTAATTATGGGTTAGGGAGCATAAAAATCGAAAAGTGTTTACATGAATATATATTTTGTTAGCAAATAAATACTATTAATACAATACATGTTTACAAATCATTGTTTTAGTAAGTTTACACGATGAAGTGTAAAAAAATTGGAAGTTGACCCTCCCCCTCTCCCCTCTGCGAAATTTCCTGTCATCACTATTGTTTATATATATATATATCAAGTCAACAATTTGGCCCTCCCTAAAAAATTTGGGCCCCAGCCTGGCCACCTGGTATTAAAGTTCTGGCGCCGCCACTGAGTCTGTATGATTGTAAAGAAGACGCTAGCGCTAGGTACACCCAGGTGTGTTGTCTTCGTATTTCAGACGTATAGGTACAACATAGGCAAAACTGTTTTGCACGGGTATAAAAAACATTCAGGCTCTACTCTAAGCTAAAAAACTAAATGTTCACACTAGAAAAATGAGAAAATTTACTCTGTAACTTTGTTTTTATATTTCCGATATCAAAACCAAAATAAAAGTTATTTAAGTTTGATAAAAAAAAAAGGTGCTCTGCTGTACAGTAGGGTACAAGTGGGTCACTGTATAATCGATGGTATTAAATTTGAATTCAATGATATACTAACATCATTGTATAAGAAAACGATTCTGAGCGAAGACGGTTAGTCAGCCTATGATATTACTAAGTATATTTGATGATACTAAGTATATTTGATGATACTAAGGTGAATAAAGCAATTTATATATAACCTATTTACGTAGAATCTTGTTTTAAATTATCAATCATTAGCTATAAAAGTTGAACATTTTATAAATTTTTAACTATAAAATTATTATTAAATTTTAAATGTGATAAATTTTGTCAAAATTTGAATTTTAAATAATTATAAAAAAAAATTGTGCCTATGTATT